GCACTGACGATCGATGATTTTATCGGCGTTTTCTACAGTTGACCTTCTACTCCGTGAAGCCACCTACATCTAAAAGTTATGAAAAATTAATTTAAATAAAAAATTAAAATTAAATTTTCTAATTGCAATCGGCCCACGGCAGGGAGTCTACACCCCTCCAAGTGTGTTTCGGACATGAAACAAACCTCCTCATAATCGACGAGGCGCATTTCTCACTCGGACGTTACGTAGGCCAGAAAAATTGTCGCATTTGTGGTTCCGAGAATTCACCTGCAATTGAAGAAAAGCCATTATTTCTGAAAAAAGACTCATTGTCTGATGTGCCCTTTGGTCTGTAGTTGTAATTGGACCTTACTTCTTTGCAACGACAACGGCGAAACTGTCACTGTCAATTCGTAACGTTATGGTCACGCGATAACCGAAAAGTTTATTTCATCAAAAATTAGCTTTACTTCGTTGCGGCTGGTTTCTCTGTATACGTCGAAAAGCTGCACTCACAACATACGGCCAAACGGTTTTCTATTCGATTTGAACTCCTGTTCTCTGAGTTCACTCATCAACAACTCCACATAAGGGAACTGTGGTACGGCATTTCGAACTCTCCACGTACAATTGCAACCGAAGCTTTTGATTTTCGACAAGGTCAAAAGAAGAGTTGCCACGATGAACATTGTCATACCGTAGGGGAGTGGAAAAGACTACAAACCTCGCATCGTTGCAAGTGACCACAACACTGTATTGAAGATATACGAAGAGGTCCATTGATTGATCGATAGCGGCAAAGAATTTTCGAAAGGTGACACTCTTCCGTGCGACTTCTTCAATCTAATACTGGAGAAAATAATAGGAGTTCCAGAACTAAATGCGGAAGGTTCAATAATTTCACAGTTCTGCTTCCCCGAATTAGCTTGGTAGTGAATATCTTCTGGCATCTAAGAAATAGTCAGAGCTTTCGTATCTTGCATTCGATTTCGTTTGTCTAATAGTCAGCAACAACACTAACTGTTGGCCTTAAAATCTCAGGCTCACTCTAGCTAATGAAGTGCAGTATTTTTTCGCAAATAACAAGAAAGAAGTCTTCATACCTTTCACAAATACCAAATTTTACAATCTGCGTTGCTTTTTTGACTGATTTATGACTAAAAAGATAAAGTCTTAAAAATCGGTAGTAACTATGCTATAGTGGACCGAACGACCGAGTTCAGACAAATGATCGTTTAAATCGTTTTAAATCAACTCAAGTGATCCAAGAGACTACCCTCGTACAAACAGACAAACAGACTCACCTAGTCATTCCGAACATATCTTCCCTCTCAGGTATTTTGATACTTTGGACTAAAGTTAATATCACATTTTCTATACATACATAAAAGTTATACAAATCAAACTCTACAATTCTGGCATCGTACAACCAATAAACTGCGAAGGTGAGTGGGAGAAAAAGGTTTGTTGTTCTTATACTTCTATACTTATGTGGCGAACACCGCAAGCGATGGCACTATGAACTTAATGGGATATACGACAGAATTTTCATAACGTCCAATTTGTAGTTTTGCGTCTTGACATTTTTCCAACAATTGAAGGGACGACCCACAGTTTATATTATACTAAGGCACCTCCGAATGGCTGACGGTTTTTTTTTAAGAGGAGCCTTATTTCATGCCCAACATACGTTTGAAGTGGCGGACATTCCCTGCTAAGGAGTGAGCGCTATTAGAAAATTTAACTTAAATTATTATTTTTTTTTAATTTTCTATAACTTTTTGGATGTTAGTACGGCACCAGGATATGATCTAGAGGCTTCCGAATGGCAGTACGTAATGGTAACCACTCGGCTATCGCGACCGCCGACATAATATTAAATTATATGTATTTTATTTCTACTTGAAAACCACATATCTAAAAACACACCCTTTAAAAAAAACCTCAATTAAAACAAAGCGGGAATCAAGACTTTTTAATTAGTACCAGTTTGCTATTTTTAGGACCAGTGCCGAATTGGTGATGATTTGTACTATATTTTGATAAAGCAGGGCCGTGTAGACACAATTGTAATTACATGCATACACGTATATATGTATGCATTGGCGTAAAGTACAAAAAAGCCTTGTTTAATTTTCATACAAAACCACGCATTCACGAGCGTTAAAATTCTTACGTGTCTGAGCATGAAATGGGAATAAAAATGAATAAAATGGAATGCAAAAAAAAAATACAAAAACTTGCTGACCGAATATATGTATGTATGTACTCAGCTGCATTGTGCGGAGGTGTCCGTGCGACTGCAAATATTATGCCATTGTAAGCACATTGCGCTCATACATACATATGTACATACACGTATATTTACGCATACCTTTGTGCGTTGGTGCATATGCTTGCATATACATACATACATAAGTGTGTGTGTGGGTGTGTGTGTGTATGTGATTATTTATGTTGCTTGTATCAGCAATGCAGTGCCAATGCGCACTTTCCATTTTCCATTCAATTTCCACTCAATTGGCTCGACCGAATGCTGCATATATATATGTATATGTATGTGTGTGTGTATGTTTGCAGGTATGTGTGAAGTGCACTTTAAACTCTGTACGAGTGTATACATACATATATATGCACACACATATATATATTAGTACAAAGGAATGCAAACAAATATCGGCATACGACTCATACATACATACAAACATATCAATATATGCATATATGGGCCGTGGATGTCTAACAGAAGCCTAGATTACGCGCTCGAGAGTGCAAAAGTGCCAACAGCTTTAGGCAATAAAAATGGAACACCGAATGCGCATTTGTGTTTTTGACGGTTAAAAAAAAACAACAAAAGTAACTAAAAAAAAGTCTCGCAATTCACTGCATTGGCCACCAGTGTGAGGTAGGCAACCGCAATCGACGGCACAGCTTTAAAGGTGAGTAAAATAACAAAGCGACGAATTGCGGCGTTTCCCTATGCCTAAAGCAGTATAATAACAAACAACAAAAAAAAGCTTTTTTTTCATACATACATACGCATGTATTCATATGCAGGTATACATACATGTATGTACGTTTATTAATACGCGTTAAACACAGGAGGGGATCAACAAAAGTTCGATCAGTCCTTTGCAATTACGTCATTAGTCCTCCTACTAAATTTTAGAATGATCGGCTAAAATGGAGAAAAGAAAATGCAAGATAGCTGAGGATAGGTCAGACGAAGTTCCACCATCAATGCAAACCGATATTCGCCATGTGATTCTCTTCGGGTTTCAGTTGCATATAGAACGGATTCACCGTCTTTAAAGACTATTTCTAAGTGATTCCGAAGATTCCTTAAGGGACATTTTCCGTAGAGAACGAGCCATGAGAAAGTTGACGAAAATCTTTTACTGATGACGTCACTGTAGCGCTGGTGAAGCCCAAAATATAGGTAGACGCACGAATGATTAAAGAAATGATTGCCAATGAATTGGGTTTAAATGCCATGGCCTCATCGCGAACATTAAGTAAACATCTGGGAGACATGAAGAAATCTACCCAAATTTAAATGAGGCCCAAAAAGAGGCAGCAAAAGTAATGATGTCAGTTAACTTCACTCGATCTAAGATCGTAGCTGCTTTTCCACTGGAAAAAGGTCAGACCGAAGAGTGCTTACTAAAAGTTTTCAAAAACTTCTTGGAAAACAGCAAGAAAGAGGATTTGCTACGCTACTTTTTACATCATGAAAATGCGCCATGCCAAGCTGCTGAAATAACGAGTACTTTTAGGCGATTTCTGGGATCGAAGAAATACGTCCAGCACCACATACGTTTAATAAAGCACCTTGTGATGTCCAGTTGTTTCCAAAAATGTAAAAACCTGAAAAGGAAAGATCTTTAATTGCAAAGAAGAAATAAGATCAGAAGTAGTTCTTTAGGCTTAAGGAATGCATTGAAATCCATGGCGAGTATGTAGAGAAGTAAAAAAAGGGGCAAAAATTACGAAAAAATACCAAACTTTTGTTAATCCCCTCATACAACACACATCCTCACTAAAAGCTACGGTAATCTAAGCCCTCTAGAAATGCTGCAAGCATACACTAACAAGTAAGAAAAAGCAAAATTCAATTAGGACATGCAGATCCGATTGTTTAAACCAGACTTAACGGGTACCGATTTGATGACATAGCAAATAAAGGGCACGCCATTTGAACTCCGGTTTATGTTTAGTTGTAGTTTAGTTTACGCAACTACAAGAAATTCTAGCGAAATAACTCGTGTCGCTATCGGACAAACCAACTCGCTTTCATGCTCGTAAAGTGCGGTCTGAGGAAAGTGTTTCTGCTGTAGCTCAATATGCGCTCGTTAAGGCCATCAGCATCAGCTCGACACTGTTAGCAGTGATTACGCATTTTTAATCGAATATTCCATAAAGACCTTAGTATGAAGGCTTGTAAAGTCTAATTGGTGCAAGAACTGAATCCTCATGATAAGATTACCATTTTTCTAATGAAGGTTATTTTTATTTCGACGACCAGCTGGGCAAGCAAACCATTCACATTTGGCATTCAGTAAATTCACGTGGAACCATGGAAAAGTCATTAAATAATTGAGGAGTAGCTGCTAGTTTCGACATATGGATCGGCGAAAAAGATGAAGGGACTGCCTTTACCGTCGTTACTGTGCCATGCTCATACATTTTGAGCCCAGATGTTGAAAAGAATGGCATGAACGTTTCAACAGAATTTCGATTTGCCACACAACCAATGTCGCAATCGACCCATAATTAGGTGAAACGACGAAGTCCACCTGTCATCTTGCAGTTGCGATTCGACTCCGTTAAGAGTAAGAGGCTACAAAGGGGACAAATAGATGGAAATGAGATACCACAAGGTCAACCTCGGCATCTGAAGGAATGAAATTATATTACATCATTAACGGAATATTGAGGCATTTCAATCGTTTGGAAAATGCAATTTTTTCAATGCCAACCCGTTAAAACTTCTCGTATTATAAGTACTAATGCTTTAGGTATTGGTAATGGTAATGATAATATTTGTATTAGCAAAGATACTGGTAGTGCGAATAGTAATGATAATATTCACGGTAATCGTAATCGCAATGGCTATATTAATATAATGTTAATATCAGTAGTGATTAGAATGTAATGATAATGGTAAAAGTACGGTAGTAATGGTAATGAACGGATGTAATGGTAATGGCGATAGTAGTGGTAGTGATGATGGCAACGGTTACAGTAATGAAAATCGAGTGGTAATAATGAATATAATGGTAATGGCAATAGTACTGAGAATAGTAATGGTTATGGTAATCGTAATGGTAATAGTAATGAGAATATTAATAGAAATGATAATCGTCTTCTTAATAGTGATGTTAAGCTAATTATAATAATAGTGGTAATGATAATGGCTTAGTGATAAAATTGTAATGGAAATGGTAATGATAAGGTTAATGGTAATGGTGATAGTAGTGGTAGTGGTGCAGGCAATAGTTACCGTGATGAAAATACGAGTGGTAATAATGAAGGTAATGGTAATGGCAATAGTACTGAGAATAGTAATCGTTATGGTAATGGTAATGGTAATAATAATAATAATAGTAAAAATAATAGTAATCGTAATCCTAATCGTAATGTTAATAATAATTGTAATGAGGATAGTAATCGTAATGGTAATCGTCATCCTAATCGCAATGTCAATAATAATGTTAATGAGAATAGTAATCGTAATAGTAATCATAACGGTAATCGTAATCCTAATCCTAATGGTAATAATAATAAGAATAGTAAAAGTAATGGCAATAGTTATCCCAACCGTAATGCCAATAATAATAATAATGAGGATAGTAATAGTAATAGTAATCGAAATGGTAATCATTATCCTTATCCTAATTTCAATAACAATTGAAAGATATTGCTAATGAAATGGTAATGATTTAATGGTGCAAATGGAATGACAATTGTGCAATGGTAATGATGGTGCAAATTGTGGGTATGGTAATGTTAATAGTAATTACAATAATGCAATGGTAATCCCTTTATAGTATCATGATGGTAATGCAGTAATATTGAAGTAGTAATGTTGTGGTAATGGTAGAATTATGGCAAGGGTTTGGTCATAATAATAACAACGCAGGCGCTCGCCTGGCCATGTTGAAGACTCCTTTATTCCTCTTGTCATACATGTTTAACGCCAGAATCCTCAGAAGCATGAACAAGTAGCTACAAATCGGTTGCAATAAGCATCAAATAATATAATCCATCCATTCTAAAATATAATTTTGATAATAAAAAGTTAAACTCAGCGCAAATGTATCAGCAACACATAAAATCCGAAAATGCACACAAAGAGAACTGTCAAGCAATTTCCGGAAATTTAACGACATAAAATTTTATTGCAACGTAAACCAAATTTCACAGCGGCTATACGACAAAAGTAGAGCAAATTTGTTTATAAATACCAAAAATATAAAAAATGTTCAGAATTCAAAACGGAAGAATCCGCTTGAATGAAATCAAACAAGAATTTAAATTAAACAAAATAAAAAGAAATAAAATTTAAATTTTATTCTAAAAATCCCAAAATAAAATGCAAAAAAATTCCACTCAAATTAGTGTAGTTGAGTCTACATACCAACACGGCATATGTTTATATGTACATTAATCTCATTTATCGTTACCAGCACTTATTGTATTTGCATTTTCACATTATCTCCACGCCGAGCAGTGAGGAAAGCATAAACGAAATTCTGTCAGCGCTTAATAAACATTATCAGCTTTTGATTAATGGATCAAAAGCAGGCAGACAAGGAAAGCGTAAAGGAAAACGCGTGCGGGATTAAACTTCTTGACTGCAACTTGACTTAATTTTCTTTCGCTTACAACGCAACAGCAACCGAACGCGATACATCTATTTAAATCGAAAATATAATTTCTGTAGAGCGCACTGCCAAAGGCGAGAAATGCGTAAGATCTTCTAATAAACATTTTCTTACTCTTATGTACATAACATGTAAAGTTGCGTTCGCTTGTTTGACTCCCTTTCAACCATAATTAACACACAGATTATTTGCCATGAACATAACCGCCTGTAAAGTTGTACGCGAGGGGAGATCAAAAAGTTCGTGGTATGAAGAGCATACAGTGAATTGAGAAATTTAGAAAAGATAATTAAATTGACAATCAAAGACAAGATACTCAAGGAGGTGGCTTCGCCGCATCTTGAGTCAATAGGGAAAAATATTTTTCTACAGTTAAGAAAATCCAATAATTTGACAAGCTTTTCGAGTTTTCCTTGTACATATACCTACATGCGTAGTTTGTTTTTGGCAATTTTGTTTTCTTCTCTGCTTAAAAATTTCCTCTTCTCTGCTGATGTTTTGAAAGAAACAATTTAATTGGATAATGCGAAAATTTGAATAAACAGGAAATTTAATTTGGCGTTAATATTGTACACGGCGTATGAGTAATATTTTGTTGGCAACAAAAAAAAAACGAATAATTATTAAGAATAATAAGACTTCCACAGGGAAAGTTTACTTTATTTTAATTTCATGAATATTGTTTTATTTCATTTTGTTTTGTGTAAATGTATTTTATTGCATTTTCTTTCATTTCATTTTTTTGATTCTTTTTCCTCTTTTATTTTACTTCTTTTATATTCTTTTATATCATTTTATATTTTATTCTCTTTTATAAAATATCAATTTATTTTATTTTGCTTTATTTTATTTTAGTTTAATTTTATTTTATTTTCTTATGTTTTATTTTATTTTATTTTGTTTTATTTTATTTTATTTTATTTTATTTTTTTTATTTTATTTTATTTTATTTAGTTTTAATTTATTTTATTTTATTTTTTTTTTACTTTGATTAATGTTGCAGTATTTTACAAAATTTTATTCTAGTTGCTATTATCTTATACTATTGTATTCGTATTTTTATTCTTATTTCTGTTTTTTTTTGTTGATTATATTATATACCATATTACTTTTTTATTTAATTTTAAATTTTACAAAAGCAGTAATTAAGCTATAAATATTAACTTGAAATGTGTATGAGAATGTCCATTAAATCGCTGAATCCTATGAGAGCCTATTAATATTCGCTGTTTATGTCCTTTAATATAATAAAGACAATAAAACTATTAAAAAAATATTTTCTGTGTGTTCTTATGAAATTAGATAAAGACATTACAAATTGCTCAATTATTACGCACAGACAGAAAAAGTTAAACTTTTATTAATCTTCTTACAGTAAAAACATACATAAATACTATATATCGAAAACTCCTACGCAATTTGTACCCCAAAGTCATAAAAGTGCGTCTTAAAGTGCTGCTTGCCATCGAACACCAAACGAAAGACGAAAGACGAAAAAAATCACAAAAGAAACAAAAGCAAAAAAATTCGACGACTTCTTAAGCTCTTTAGCCAACGTCATACGAACGTCGCATATCTTACGCTTAACGCCACACAAAACACGCCTTAGCGCCAAAAAGCGTGCAATAAAATTTCATAAAATTCTGTTCCGAAAGCTTTACTGGACTAGACTGTGCGTGTGGTTGTTGGATTTAAAGTGCGAAGCTCTCAATGTTAAGAAGTGCGAGTCTAAGTGTGCGTTTATATGTGTGCATGCATACTTATGATTTTTTATTGCATCAAATTTGCGCATTTTAATCCGATTTACAAAAAGCATAGAATAGTGCCAACTGAAAAGTCAGCAGCACATCAAAAATTCCAAGAAAATATGCGAACAGCACGCGATGACTGGATGAGCAAAATATACTCAAAATTTACGTAGTCATGTCATTAAATTTGACCTTTGGCATTCGCAATGTGCTCGCTGCAACGCTCGCATTTTAAATACATAAAATTACCAAATGCTTGTTCACAGCAAACGATTTCAATGTAGGAATTTTTGCGTCAGCTCAAATGCTTGGCATACTTTGTTGGAGCTCTCCAAGTTTGCTGACTACAAACAACCAATACCCACCTTTCGTGAATCACGAGTTTCTGCTCGCATGTCCAAGCGGTGTTCTAACCCTGTGTAGTTTGCCGGACAAGGGATTATAATTTTATTGTAAAGTAGCTTTTGACGCTGAGAGTTAAGACCACCCGGGGGTGGTTCGATGGGGTGCATTTTCATATGTGAAGAACTTTAGCGTGTGATAGCACCAGTACAAAAGTTTTTGTGTTAAAATATATAGACATCATAGTAGCTCTGGCTTTTGAAATACCGCCCCACAGCTCACTTATATTACATTGGTAATGAGTGACTTAAGGATCAGTCATATTGGAATCAGCCTTTCTAGCAACATCATCTCAAAGAGAGAATCGGATATTCCAAATACTAACCTCAAATTGCGATCTTTAAAACAAAAATGTGGACTTCCCAACTGAGACTATTGGAGTTGATTTTTTTTGTGAAGGGTTTCAAACAACCCTACATGCCTTATTACACTTCTTATTGTCACTGCTAAAACTTCTGGTACATTTTCTGAAAGAACTTTGCCTACCGCTTGTCTTCTCAATCCAGAACTTTCGAAACGCTCTTCATATTTATCCAGTAATCTACTGCGGCGGCCGCGGGAGCCGAGATTCTGGTTCAAATCCAAAAAGTTACTGAAAATTAAGCTAAATTTGTTAATTGCGGTCGCCCCTCGGTAGGGAATGTCAAAGCCTCCGAGTGTATTTCTGGCATGAAATAAACTCCTCGTAAAAAACCATCCGCCATTCGGAGGCTTAGAGGTTTGGTATAAACTGTAAGTCCTCAATACGCAAAATCACAAATTGAAGGAAAATCGCTTTTGCGGTTACAAAGTGCCAATTGTTATATTGCGGTCCTTGCTCTATCAAGCTTGTTTATATATGCTACTAGCTATTTTATTGTCCCAATATCGTACGGCCTATCTTTGAATCTTTTGTTTTAGTATCAGTTCTTCTTTACCTGCAAGAATCTACTTGGTCTTAACCCACCTCACAAATTCCCTTCTTTACATCTGCCCTGGAACAGCATCGCCTTTCAAGTCCAACAGCAGAGTCTTACTCTTGAAAACGTACCATACGCGAACTATGTAAAGCCAAAACCCCATAGTCAATTGCAGTTGTAACTCCTCCACCTTCCATTTCTTCTCATATCTCATAATAT